TTGCAGACTTCTTGGTTCTTGGAATTCTTGGTTCTTGGAATCCTTTGTTCTTGCAGCTGTCCATGTGGGTCAGGTCACGGTGTCCCTGTAAACCTCAAACAAAACAAATGTTATTTTCTATCCTGCAATGTGTTATCCTTATATGATGGAAAAGTTTTAATATCCTTAAAGGGCAGAGCCTTGTGAATGGGCCCTCCTGTATATTCCAGGTTATAGGCATCATTCTTTACAAAAGGTGCAGAAGCAGCAATGACTCAGCCCAGGAAAGAGCACAGGGTCAGAACCAAAGGAACAGGCCGAATATGGAGGCAGATTTGTCCTTTCCTAGTCACTGGCTTTCATCCCTTCTCCACAAAGAAGTCCCAAGGGCCGTGGACAGGGCGTCTGGTCCAGCGAAGGCTCAGAGCTTGTGTGCCAGCCTCCAGACTGAAGGGCCGGGCGCCTGTGCTGCAAGCTGGGCCCCGTGGGGACTGGGCCTGGGGCAGGTTTGCTTCCAACTCCCCCGCTCCTCACCCTGCTCCGAATTCTACACAGAACAGCCCCCAGCGTGGGGAGGAAGCGACCGGGGGCCAAGAACCCACTTCTGCTCCCTTCCTTGGGGGCTTCCTTCTCGGCCGGCTCTTTAAGTCTGAGGCGCTGCAGAAAGTCTCGATTCTGGAAGAAGAAGAAATACAGACAGTGGGTGAAGGTTTTCCATACGAGACAACTTTTACCATAGTCCCCGGGCTAATCGGGGGTCAGCCCCTTTTAAAAATGGAATAGCATTATTGTTTGTTTCTGCTTCTCAGAACCTCACTTGCTCAGGGTAGAAGATGTGTAAATAAAACAGAAAGGCATGCTGCAGGGGGAGAGACGCGCCTGCGCAGATGTGGCCGTATTTTTGGACGGGTGGGATGGGCAAGGAGGGAGGCGGGCTCACGTGGGCTCCTGCGGCCGCGTCTCCATCTCCGCCTGCTAGTGCTGTCACTTCCCTTCCTCGCCTCTTCACACTTCGCTGTCAACAAAACATCTGACCTGCAGGGGGAGGGTGGCTTGGATTCTGCTAAAAAGAGAGTAATGATGCTCAGACAAAAAGCAAAGTACTTTATGTCTATTTTGGTTTCTTTTAAGCTAAGCGCAGATTTCTCTGGGAAGGACAGGAGCTGGCTGGTCTCCCCGATGGAAAACAATAGCTCAGCAAGGTACCTGGTTTTCTCAAGTTGCTTGACCTCCAGGCTTGCTCCTGATTCTTGGTGACAAAACACATTCAACGTCCTTGATTGATTTAGTAGAGAAACTGCAATATTGGAGGATGGAACGCAGCCCATCCTGCCTGCAAATGGAACGCCTCTGCTCTGATGGTCTTGTGTTTTGATAAAAGATCAGCCAACAGCCGAGCTTGGAAGCTGTGAACACCCAGCCTCCTAGGTTCTTCGGGGCAACGTGCTACGTACCCCAGGCATCCGTCTAGACCCTCTCTCTGCCCTGGCTGTTCCCCCTAGATTTCCCCCTGACTTGTGTTGTATTTGACCTACACACTCAGGTTCTCTATGATTTGTTCTCTCTCTGCTGTGTCTTTGGCTTCTGATTGCCAAGTAGCCTGAGACTTAGGGCTGGAAGGAGTCTCCTGGTCTACCTTCACATCCTAAGACAACGTCCCCCCTTTCTGTATAGGAAGGTCAAAGGTTACCCTGTTGTTGGACATCAGCACTGGGCAGAAAAGCCCGTCCCCTCTCCGAGCTCCGCATCTGCAGCCTGACGTCCACCCCCAGCAGGATGTCGTCCACACCCTCCCCCCACCATCAGAGCTTGAATCAGTCCAGGTTTCACACATTTTTTGAGTTTTCATGATTAAAGCATCTCAATTTAGAGACTTTGTGGAAAGCAGGCAATGTCCTTGCTTGTGAAAAATTGGAGACGTTGGACATCGGAACTGCCAGCCCCAGTGGCCGGCTGATCACACGCCGTGGTAATGAGATCGCCGAGGTGGGAAATATTAGCCCTTGAATTTCCAGCCTGTCATTAGTCATAGATGCTCACTGGCGCTCACTGCCTTCCAGAAACCTCAAGCCACGCTTCCAAATGCTTCTCTAGGACGTGAATAGGGTCGCTCATGACACACTGGAACGAGGTTTGTTTTAAATGTCACAATGCTGTGAAATGATTCAAACCCACTTAAAAAAATTAACTTTATTTTTTTTGGTGGGGGGAGGGCAATTAGGTGGGGTTTTTTTTTCTTTTAAACGGAGGTGCTGGGGATTGAGCCCAGGACTTCGTGCATGCCAAGCATCGCTCTACCCCTGAGCTTTACCCTCCCCTTCCAGCCCATTCTTGAACCTTCAGGTTGGGAGCTGGGCCTTCACCAGCCCCTTCCTGCTTTTTATATGGAACACAGCACTTTGACACTGAAGTGTCCTTAGTGAGTCACCCTCTCCAGGTTTCTCTCGTCTCAGATGTGATTTTCTCTTTTTTTTAAGTTTTTGGTTTTTGGAGGGGGAAGGTGGTTCAATTTATTTATTTATTTCATTTATTTTTTAAATGGAGGTGCTGGGGATTGAACCTAGGACCTCATATATGCTAAGCATGCACTCTACCACTGAGCTATGCTCACCCCTCCTCGTCTCAGATGTGGAGACTGAGGACAGAGAGCGGCAGAGGTTCTGGTGATGACTGCAGGAACCGGTGGTCAGCTGGGGTCAGAACGTGTGCATCCAACCCTCAGCCCAGGGCACGGCTCCGAAAGGCCTCTTGGTTCTGGGGTCGCATTTGCGAAACGGTGGAGGGCGTGTTTTGTGATGTAGTTGGGGGGAGGGGGGAGTCTTGTTCCGATTTAGTAGATGGGAGATTGGATGATTGCGTCCCAGTATTCATTTGTCCAGTGCAAATATTTACTGAGGGCCCACCCGGGCTGGCACGGAACCACTGGGGGAGAATGTTGCCTAATATCCCCACGTCTGACTGATTTGGAGTTGTCGTCAGGGTTACCTGATTAAAAAATACAGATCCTGAATCCCTGTCCTCTGTCTCCCTGTGATCCAGCAGGTTTGAGGTGGGACCCAGGCATCTTTATTTCAAAACGGTTTCCGAAGTGATCCTGCCAGCCGGCCAGGGTTGGGTCCCACGGGCTGCTCTACCCCATCCACCCAGGACGGCAGCCGGGGAGAGGGGCTTTCCCAGGGTGACTCACCTTACAGGAGGGGAGACCGAGGCGCACACGGCCTAAGTGGCTTTCCCCAGGTCACAGGGCCAGTTAGGAACGGGCAGGTTTAATGCTGCTGCTTTTCTGTAGTTGTGGCGTCCAGTGGCGGGGCCCGCGGACCTTAGCCTTCACTGCTGTGTGCAGCAGGGCGCCTGAGCAGCGGCCAGAGTTGTGCTGCTGCCTTCAGGGGAGGGCAGAGTCTTCTCAGGCCCCTGCGTCCTGAAGCCTCTGCTGGTGACATGGGGGATATTTTGCCAACCACAGAGAACAAGGAAAAGGAAGATTTTAGCCTCCATCTGTGTTTTGGTGAATTTGTCCTGAGTTTTTTTTTTTGTATTAAGTTACAGTCATTTTACAATGTTGTGCCCTGAGTTTTAGTGGGAGAATTGGACTCATCTGGATATAATAACTGAAAGACTGTTTAGAATGATAGCAATTTAATCCAAGAATTTTTATTAAACACTTGCTATGTGCTAGGTGAGAACAGTCTGGCATTGCCCTATCCACCCAGCTGTTGAAAGGAACATAAGCGCCATCAAGATTTTGGTAAGGAATGCCACATTGTGTCAAGGCCCTAGAGAACCACACTGAGGAAGAGGGGGACTTTCAGAGCTCAGCGTGAGGTTTTAGACTCATAAAGCCCCCGGGGCCGCCGGATTTCGCCCTAGCTGGAGACCTGTGTTACTGGCGTTGCATCGGGCGCTGACTATAAACACACGTCCATCCGCGCGGGTTAATTTTATCCCTCGAGGTGGGTATTATTAACCTAGTTGTACAACTGGGAAAACTGAAGCTGAAGTAGTGAAGGGACTGACCAAGGTCACGGAGATAGAAAGTGACACAGCTGAAATGCAGATCGAGGTGGGCCTGACCTCAAAGCCCAAGAGCAAAGGGGAAGATGAGCCACTGTGCCGCCTGCCTGGCTTTATCTCATGGTTCCATGTGTGTCTCACTAGACACTACTGGAGGCAGGCGCTGCTGCGGGTCTGTATTCCCCCCGCAGGGGACACAGCTCTCCACACGGTGCAAATAGGCAACGTTCACGGAGCAGAGCAGTAAAGTAACGCAGGAGGCTGCCACGCACGGAAATCTGTAGCGTTCAGCTGTTTGCACACGATGCTGTATCACAATAAGCATCAACCGCTCAGAAAATAGGATGAGTTAAACAAAATGTTACAATTGTCAAAATTAATTTTTTCACTTAGTGTTCTCTGAAAAAATTAAAAATCAAATGTGATTGATACTGTGGAGGATACTGCACCCCCCCAACAATCCAATTTTTTTTGTTATGTTGTCAGTGGTTCTTTCTGAAGCTTTTGCTGCTTTTTCAAAATCTGGAGGCAGCAAAATGTCAGTTTCTTTAATTTCAGAAGCACGTAGGTCCATTTGTAATAATAAAAGCTTTTTAAAAAATTAACACAGTTTCATCTATAGGACTGATTTGATATGACGCATCTATTGAAGAATGGCGATACATTCTGGAAAGCGGAATTGTGGTAACCATGGTAACGGGGGGGACAGGGCCCTTTCTCGCCATCGCCTGGGAAACACGGCCAGAACGCTCCGAAGAAGTTTGGCCTACTAGGCACGCCGTAGGGCGCGGTGCATGCTGGGCCTCGCAACATGGCGTCCTCCTTGGTGTGCTGATGAGAGGAGTTTCACTGTAGCTTCAAACTAGAGGGCAAAGCTCTCCAAACCCAATAAGCCCACATTACCCGTTTTACCCGCGGCTCCGTGTTGCCGGTTCCTCAGGACTCGTTCTCAGGCAGGAGAGAGCCACGGGGC